TTACTTTTGTTTAAGAATGAATAAATTATAATATAAAAAGATGAAAAAATAGTATGATTAAAGATGTGATAAATATTTTCAAAAAAAAAAAAAAAGATGTGATAAATATACGTAACAAGTCAAAACAAGTGAGTTAATAACATACATAAATAAAAATGTGAATAATTTAATAAATCAAGATAAGGTAATAAGTTTATCAACATAAAGAGGTCATAGTCTCATAGAGGCGTGGATTGTGGGGATCTTAGACTAGTATGGGTATTGAAGAAAACAAAATTTTTTTGTCAATTTTTTAAAACAATTTCACACAATATATATATATATATATATATATATATATATATATATATATATATATATATATCTAAAAACATAATAAGCTTCAATCCAGGTTATACCCCTGGTTTATGTCCGTTTTTTCCGTTAATTTTTTTTGTACCTTGTGCTATAAAAATTGTACTACATAATTTTTTGGACAAAAATATCCCTGCCGTTATAACTTCTGTTATCTTTCCACATTGTTATTACCATTTACATGCATACACAAAAATTTTTCTTATATCCTTCAATGGTAAGTTTGAATTCATTTAGGTTTTAATTAAAATGTTACCATAGTTATATTTAGTAATTTATCATTTCTATAATTCTTACCTCAATAATATTAATATGAATTATATATATATATATATATATATATATATATATATATATATATATACATATATATATATATATATATACATATATATATATATATATACACACACACACACACACACACACACACACATTATTATTTTTAAAAAATTAATATAACTAAGATTTTAATATTGGGCATATATTTTTTGCGCATCACGCATATAAAATACTAGTATATATATATATATATATATATATATATATATATATATATATATATATATATATATATATATATAGGGTCAAGTTCCTGTGAGGTCAGGTCTTCCCGTGCGGTCAGTGCGGCATACACCATTAGGTATGCATAAATGCACTACAAAGTGTTCGTAATACACCATTATGTGTGATGTATTTTTTTTTATTTGGTGTATTTTTTGACATTTCATTCTAGTGTATTTTCGAACACTGAATTGTGCATTTATGCATACCTAATGGTGTATGCCGCACTGACCGCACGGGAAGACCTGACCTCATAGGAACCAAAATCTATATATATATATATATATATATATATATATATATATATATATATATATATATATATATATATATATATATATATATATAGAGAGAGAGAGAGAGAGAGAGAGTTAGGATCATATGAGAACATGTGCTTAGGTGAGAACGTGAGAACACATCATATAAATCACGTTTGCACACATTTAATGCGTGTTCGCACACACTCAATCTAATCTAGACCATTAAAAAATATTAAATGGATGCACATGATGTATTCTCACGTTCTCACCTAAGCACATGTTCTCACTGGAACCCTACTATATATATATATATATATATATATATATATATATATATATGAAAAGTTTGGAGTCTTTGTCAAGCCATTCAAATAGTCAAAAGAGACATTAATTTAGAGTGAGCATTAAATACATAATATAAAATTTACTTCTAATTCTTATAGTTTGCTTTTTCATTTTTGCATAACAATCTTTTTGGTACTATACATATAAAAAGAAACGAGTAATAAATATGTGTACTAAATATCTATTCCATATTCATAAAATCTAAAATCTCTTCTATTACATTTCACAATTACACTACTAAGTCATTTAAAAAAAATCATGAAATATCGTGCATAATAGTATTATAAATGGATATGTTTTTCCATTTTAAAAATGCACCATACTTATTACTATACTAGTTTTTATACGCGCATTGCGCGATTGGCATAATGCCCAATGTTTTTTTTTTTTTTTTTAAATAAGTACTTTAAAGTATATCAATGCAAGATTATATTGGAATTGTTCATGCATAGATAATTGAATGTTAAATTTGCGTATTTAAATAGGTAATTCTAAGTTTACAAATTCAAGATAATATAGTCAAGATTGATTATAATTGTCAATAAAATAATTGTATAGGTATGGTTGAAACCAAATACGGGACACAAGGAGGAGCAAATAAAAATTAGGGCATAAAATATTAAATATATACTAATATTGAAGAGCTAACTGCTGATTGCCAAACAAGGACATTGCGAGATAGTTTCCCACTTCAATTTGTTGTGTGATTTGAATACATTTTTTGTCAATAAATTTCCCAAGTAGTTAATATGATTGGCTTAATTATATTTTGTAAAATTTTTATATATTTTTTAAAAATTATTATTATTATATATATATATATATATATATATATATATATATATATATATATATATATATATATATATATATATATATATATATATATATATACACACACACACACACACACACACACACACACACCGTTAGGTCATTTTACATGTTAATCTAAAGAGCTAATTTTTTCAAATATGTTTTTACCAACCATTTATATAATTCGCTGGTCAAATTCGCTAATATAATCCGCTAACGCTAATCGCTAACAGATGATTGTCAAACAAGGACATTGCGAGGTAGTTCTCACTTCAATTTGTTGTGTGATTAGAATACTCTCTTTGTCAACAAATCCCTCAAGTAGTTAATATGATTGACTTTATTAATTATATTTTTTTTTAATTTTTTCATGGTATTACTAAAATACTTGGCAAAATAAATATATAGCATTATTTTGTATTATAACTTTGAAATTTGATTAAAAATAGTGTGCACAAAAAGATAATAGACAATGTAGTGAATATAATCAATTGATGAATTTGAATGTAAAGAATTTTTACATTGGAGAAATATAAAAACAATATAACTAATAAAATTATTTCTCTTATTTAATTTATTGATACTGAATAAATTTTTTTTAATAAAGACATTGTAGGGATAATGTAGCGAATATAATCAATTGATGAATTTGAATGTAAAGAATTTTTATATTGGAGAAAAATAAATACAATATAACTAATGAAATTATTTCTCTTATTTAATTTATTGATAATGAATAATTTTTTTTTTGAATAGTGACATTGTAGACACATAATTCTAAATTAAAGAAATGCATATGTATTATTTTTTGTTGTAGCTTCTAAATTATTATTTAATTTATTAATTTAATAAGAGTAAAATAGAGTACTAATTATGCCAACTTTGATTGGGATGAGGTTCGAACCTAAGACCTTTCTTATTAAAATCAATGAGTAAGTTAACGGTGAACTAACAGAAATTAACGAAAAAGATAATATTTAACGGAAAAGTTAACCGATAACCATATTCATTAAGGATAAATTAGGAAATCTTAAGAAAAAATTAAAATCTGATCAATCTGAGTCATTCATTTGATTAAAAATTTTGACCGCCATTTTTTCTACTCATTATAGGCCTAACTCTTTTGGGCTCTTATTAGTATAGTATATAGTAGATAGTAGATAGTAGAAGTAGATAGTAGAAATAAAAATAAGTGTAAATACCCAAAATGGTCCCTCGACTATAGCTAAATTCACAAATTGGTCCTCGACTTTCAATTTCAACCAATTGAGTCCTTAACTTTGTAATTTTGACACGATTTGGTCCTCCATCTATTTGACCGTTTGTTGACTGTGATCGACGATCTCCAGAAGAACCTTCAGCTCTCGTCGGAGCACGTGGAGGCCTCCAGGATGACGTTGCACTGGTTCGGAAACACGTCGTCTTCTTCGCTCTGGTACGAACTCAACTACATTGAATCCGAATGGAGGATGAAGAAAGGCGACCGGATTGGGTAAATTGCTTTCGACAGTGGATTCAAATGTAACCGTGCGGTCTGGAAATGCAACCAAAACCTTAAAAACCCGATGATGGACCATGAAATTACATATATATCCTCAAAAATCACAGTCAACAAACGGTCAAATAAACAGAGGACCATATTGTGTTAAAATTATAAAGTTAAGGACTTAATTGGTTGAAATTGAAAGTCGAGGACCAATTTGTGAATTTAGCTATAGTCGAGGAACCATTTTGGGTATTTATTCTAAAAATAAATAAAGGAATTTTTCACAAAATGACATTACGGACTTTCAAATTTATAATCTCGATAGTGTAAAATTTTTCATTATAATATAATATAATTTATATTAAAATAAATCACTATCGAGATATTATGGCCCTGTTTGGTAACATAGTTAGCTTATTAGTCAATTTTGACTTATTTAATCACTATAAGCTATTTGACGTTTTTTTTTAATTTTTTATTTTATTTAAACAATCAATATAAGTGTTTGATTAATTAGCTTTTTGTAGCATCTTATTGCTCCAAAACGCTAAATTTCAAAAGGTTGTTCAAAACATATTTTTCGATAATTTTTTTGAGAAAGTCATTTTACATGCAATCAACTATTAGTTAATTTACCAAACATCTTTCTACAATCAGCTAATGCTATCAACTAATCAAACTGCTAACCCAATCAGCTGACAGCTATTTACCAAACACCATCTATATCATTTTATTAAATATGTGACATTTTTAATTACTCTTATTATTATATTATTGTTGTTGTGTAGGATTATATTTGTCATTATACTCATTATTCCTTACCATTCCAAACTCAACCAAACAATGAAATTTATATTCTCAATAATTTTTTTTCCACCAACTAAACAATGAAATCTATTTTCTTGAAATTTATTTTCCATGGAATTTCAATTCCATTTCCCTTTAAATATTTTCAGCAATCAGCTGTTAGTGATTTAACAAAATAAAAATATACGACATCCTTACGTATAATACATAAAAAATTTCTATAAAATGATTGATTGATATATACATAAAGGAAAAAAAAAAAAAAAAACCAAAAGCAAACAAAAAGTAGGCGGCTGGTTTACCGCAATAGCTTTTTTCCCGTCTTCTTACCACCTTCCTTTATATCAGCACTTCCCGACAAACGAACGTGAGTCACCACTACGCAACAACGCCATCAAACTCCCTTTCTTTCTCTCCCCTTTTGTTCTTATCATCTTTGTTTCCCAAACCATAATTCGGAACTACAGAGGGTTCTTGGAGATAGAACTTCTCAGTTTGTCAGTCAGTGGCTCAAAATCATTGGAGGGGGGAAGATCTATCCGTAAGTTCATTCCACTGTGAATTTCTTCGGTTTTTCTGCGATTTTGTTTGGACCTTTCGTTGATTGTGAAGTTGTGAATTGTTTGTTTGGAACATTGAACCGGTGGGTAGAGACTAGAGAGGGTAAAGATCAAAGGGTGTTGAGTAGATCAAGCCATGGTCTATTAAAGAATTCTTTTTTTTTTCCTTGTGCTTTTTTGGAATGAAAAATCAAAGAGTTTGCCTACCCACAAATAAGCTAAATAGATGGGAAGGATGATGCTTTACTTTTTGAAAGATTTGTTTTGTTAATTTTGTTGTTGTTTTGTGTTTCTATGTTTATTGTTCTGAAAAGATTTTGGTGTAGTTTTGGATTGATTATTTCTTTAATGGTTTTTGCTTTAGTTGTTTCTGCACTAAGATGATAAATTCACTCTGCCTTTGACCCTTTGTGTATCAGCTTTTTCATTCTTGTTTTGATAAGTGAGCTTTTGTGTATCAATTATGTCTAGGAGTGGTTGATTGTACAGAGATAAAAATATTCCTGGAAGGATTGTTTCAGTAACTAGAGATCAAGGATTTAGATCAAAGGTGTTGAATAGATCAAGTGATGCTCTATAGAAAATTAGAAAAAAAAAAAAAAAAGGAATTAACCCAAATCAGGATCCAGATGTGTGTTTTATATGATTATCTCTTTAATGGTTATTGTTTTGTTTTGTTTCTGCAGAAAGATGAGAGCTTTGGTCTTTGTTTGATCTTGTGTGCATCAATTCCAGTGTAAATATCATCAGAGCTTGGCTAGGGATTTGATTTGATACATAAGTTGTGTGTGTAGATTTTGCTTGGATCTGGTTGATGGGTATGTTTGAGGATATGGCGAATATGGGTTTTTGTGAGAATCTTGATTTCCTCTCGGAGTCCCCGGGATGTACTGAAATGGCACCTGAAGTTGAAACCAAGGCACCGGGGGTTGGGGTTGAGGACGATGACTACAGTGATGATGACATGGATGTGGAGGAGCTGGAGAGGAGGATGTGGAGGGACAGGATGCTGTTGAGGCGGCTGAGGGAGAAGAACAAAACCAAGGATGGAGCTGACAGCGCGAAGCATCGCCAGTCCCAGGAGCAAGCACGGAGGAAGAAGATGTCCCGTGCTCAAGACGGTATACTGAAGTACATGCTGAAGATGATGGAGGTTTGCAATGCTCAGGGCTTTGTTTACGGGATTATTCCCGAGAAGGGGAAGCCCGTGAGCGGAGCTTCTGACAATCTTCGCGCTTGGTGGAAGGAGAAGGTCAGATTTGATCGAAATGGCCCAGCTGCAGTTGCCAAGTACCAGGCAGAAAACAATATCCCGGGGAAGATTGAGGAGTCGAGTGTGGTGGTGTCAACTCCTCACACGCTGCAAGAGCTCCAGGATACGACGTTGGGCTCGCTGTTATCTGCTCTGATGCAACACTGTGATCCTCCTCAGAGAAGGTTTCCTTTGGAAAAGGGTGTTGCTCCTCCTTGGTGGCCTTCGGGTAACGAGGAATGGTGGGACCAGTTGGGAATGCCAAAGGATCAAGGGTCACCGCCCTATAAAAAGCCTCATGATTTGAAAAAGGCATGGAAAGTGGGCGTTCTCACTGCAGTGATTAAGCACTTGTCCCCTGACATTGCCAAGATTCGCAAGCTCGTTAGGCAGTCAAAATGCTTGCAGGATAAGATGACAGCCAAGGAGAGTGCTACCTGGATTGCTATCATTAATCAAGAAGAGTCGCTGGCTAGGAAGCTGTATCCCGATAGCTATCCACAGGGCCCTTCGGTTATTGGGAATGGCTCACATCTAGCCAGTGATGCTAGTGATTATGATGTCGAAGGAGTGTATGATAAGAGTCCCATCGATCTCGAATGCAAACCCCACGAGATGAACATCCTTAACATGGGTATGGGAGGACCTAAAGCTAGAAATTTGGTCCCGCTCTTAGCTCCTATAAAAGGCGAGATTATTGATCTCAGCTCAGATTTCCTCCCGAAGAGGAAACACCCATCGAGTGAGGAGCATGTGGATGTGAAGATATATACATGCGAGTATTCGCAGTGCCCTTATAGCAACTACCAGATGGGGTTCCAGGACAGGACATCAAGGAATAATCACCAGATTAACTGCCAATACCGCTTCGCTTCTGCTCAAAGGCTTGGCATGCAAAACTTCCAAATAAACAATGACGGTCCAGCTGTTTTCTCTGCACCTAAGCCCGCTGCTCCATCAGTGGGGTCTTCCTCATCTGTAAATGCCTCGAGCTTTGGGCTTCCTGAAGATGGCCAAAGGATGATTTCTGAACTCATGTCATTCTACGACACCAATTTTCAACAAAATGGTAACTTCAATTCTGTGAACCTTAATGCTGTAGTAGAAGACCACAACCTGCTTCAACTGGATGATGACTTCTTCAAACCGGGCGCCCCAGTGGGGGGTGGTGCAACATTTCAGGACACAAACATGCCCATCACCCAATCTGGCTTCTCATCCACAGAAACCCAATTTGGCCAATCCAAGTTCCAATATGAGTCTCCATTCAATGGAAACACATGCGATCCCGGTGAGTTTAGGTTTGGCTCCCCGTTCAACTTGGCAGCACCAATTGATTATTCCTCGATGGATCAGCTGCCAAAGCAGGATGTATCAACTTGGTACCTCTGAATGAATCCATGGCACATTTCCAGTTCTTTCCCCCAATGGAAATTCTGGAGGAGAATGAAAGGCTGTACATAACAAAGCAAGAATCACCATTCCCCTATTATATCATAAGTAGGCTTATTGGAGCTTTCTGCTACTGTATTAAATATTATGTTTGTTTGCTTGCCTTTTTCTTCTGTTTTCTTTAGCTTTTGAACTGGTAGTCTCTATTGTACCCCTTACCCCTACCCCTACCCCTACCCCTTTCATTTTCATGTTGTGTCCCAAACTTTAGGTAGAGTTTGTGAAATAAAATCTTAGTTTGCTTATTACTGGAGTGCATATACCAATCTATATTTGATGGTTTTAGTTAACAGTTGCTGTTTTCTTCATCACTAACTTTTCTCAAGCACATGCAATGAATCATGAATGTTGTTTGTTCATCTAAATGGGATAGTGATTGAATGGACCAGATGAATGGTATCCATTCAATATAGTTATTGTTTGTTACATATCATTTCAGTGTTGTCACCATTTGGAGAAAAGAGGGATGCATACTTTTAGGCTTTTTGATCCTGTTGAATTAGGGGGCTTTGGGTTCAGGATTTCAGAATCAGAATAGGAATTAAAAATTAAGGAATGGGAATATGTTTTGGTAAAGTAGATAGTCAATTTTGATATTTTGATTTGAAATGAATAACTCTAGAATGGGAATCGAAGTAATATAAATAAATAAATAAATAAAAATAATATATATATATATATATATATATATATATATATATATATATATATATATATATATATATATATATATATATATATATATATATATATATGATAGTGTTAATTGCCACGTAATGCGGTAATTAAATAAACACAAGACCAAATAAAGCAAGTAAATCTTTTATTGATCGAGGTGAAGGCCCTAAGTACAATCTACTTGGTTGCTCTGAGTGCCGACTGACTGCGGTCGGGATTCTCTAACAACAACCTATCGATCGTCCAAAAGTCCCACACTGTCGCTATCGCGGGTATTTATAGCTGCGAAGCCGGAGACACAAATCCGGCCGTCCGGCATGCTTCCCACGTAGCAACCACGTGTCGCCGTCCCGGGTGCCCTGCCTGTCAATGCGCGGAGCCGCCACGTGTCCCTCATCAGCTCTCTTCGCTAAAGGGCTACCGCTCGGTGGTCGACACTGCCACTCGGGTAACTCCCGGTTGGTCCCGACCGAGTTCTTCACAAGAAACCCGACCTGTTACCTGCAAAGACAAGAACAAAAGGACGAAGGCACACCGGTCGGGATAACGCTATGTCGATCGGGGTATTCCCTACCAATATATATATATATATATATATATATATATATATATATATATATATATATATATATATATATATATATATATATATATATATATTGAAAGGTTCCCGTGCGCTTAAATGCTTCCCGTGCGGTTGATTAATGTGCGTGAAGTTTTTACTCAATGTGCGTGAATATTGTGCTTAATGTGCCTGAGATTTGTACTTAATGTGCGTGGGTGTGTAATGTTAATGTGCGTGAGTTTTGTACTTAAAGTGCGTGAATCTTGTGACTAAGGTGCGTGAGTTGTGTGCTTAATGTGCGTGAGTGGGTTTGGTTATTATTGTTTTAATTTTGACTACGTAAATTAAACATAAAAATATACAGGTGTTATCTTTACGGGTTACCCTGTGATCAGTATCCGGAGGATGCATATATGCATGGATTAATAACTGTGGGCATGACATTCCAGAACTAAAGGATTATTTTTTTCGATCGATCACCAAACTATGAAGATTCAGCATCTGACAGCCTAGCTGCTAGCTAACTATGGACATTCAGCATCGCCAGCCTCTGCTAGCTATCTAAGGTGAAGGGATTCTTCATATTTTGGCGTGCAAATGCTGGTGAATTTGCATGCGTTCTTGGACTCGATCTACAGTGGCATGCATCCTAACTCACGCGCATTAAGTACAAATCTCATACACATTAAACACAAGACTCAGGCATATTGAATACAAAAGACACGCACATTAACATTACATACTCACGCACATTAAGTATAAAGCTCAGGCACATTAAGCACAAGACTCACGCACGGGAAGCCACAAATGCACCTGATCCCTTCCATATATATATATATATATATATATATATATATATATATATATATATATATATATATATATATATATATATATATATATATAGATTTTGAATCCAGTGCCACCCCTTAGGTGAGATCGTGAGGCCACATCCTGTGCATTTATTTTTATTTTTCAATGGTTTAGATTGATTTCACTTGGATCACAAATGGTACTGATTTTAGATGAAGCCAAGGTTGTTTTTGTCCTTAATCACTGTATTTATTACTTTCCATTTCATTTTTTTCCATGTTTATAAAGATTTGTAGCGTTATTTTTGATCTCAATCAATTTTTAATATTTCTCTATCTTACTGTTACCAGCATAACGCACATACTGTCACTCGTGTGCGCACATGCCATATAGTTGTGAAATATAACCTACTTAGCAAATACCTACGTGCTCATTCCTATGCATCCACCTACTTCATTACGTGCACACACCAGTTTAGTGCACACACATTTATTACTGTTTTATTTTTGAAATGCAATCTTACAGCGGTGTGTGCATTGTTCTGGTATGGTGTGTGCGTTAATTCTGGTTGTTTTTTTTTTTTTTTGTTTTTTTTTTGTGTATATAAACCATGATGTTTTTTTTTGCACACGCCATACCACACAAATGCACACACCAACGTAAAATTTTTTTTTTTAAAAAAATCGACATGATGCTAAGTTCCTTTGTCAAAAATTTACAAACGCAAAACCATACAAATGCACACACCACAGTAAAAAAAAATGACATGCTGCAAAGTTCCACTGCCACAAATTTGCACATGCCGTATCACAAAAATGCATACTCCATCGTAAAAAAAGAAAAAAAAAAAAAAAAAAAAAAAAAAAAAAAAAAAAGAAAAAAAACAAAACGAAACAAAAACAAAAACAAAAACGACATGATGCAAAGTTTCAGAAATTTGCACACGCCCTACCACACAAATGCACACACCACCGTCACACATACAAATCTCATATTACTATTTCTTCTTGGCATTTTTCTTCTTCAAAATCTCAGAATACAAAAAAATATAATTAATTATTACCATTGATAAGATCCCTTTTATTAGGTAAATATTCTATTTTAATTATATCCAAAATTAAACACCATAATAGAATTACTCTTACACCCTTCTCATTTAAATGTATCCTTAAATAATTGATGGTAGGGAATATCCCGACCGACACAGCTTCACCACGACCGAGATGCCTTTGTCCTTTTGTCTATGTCTTTGCAGGTAACAGGTCGGGCTCCTTGAGGAGAACCCGGTCGGGGTCCGACCGGGAGTTGCCCGAGCGATGCTATGAACCCCGAGCGGTGGTCCTTAGGCGAGAGAGCTGGCTAAAGACACGTGGCGGCTTTCTACGACGACAGGCAGGGCACCCGGGAGGGGGACGCGTGGAGGCTACGTGGAGAGCATGCCGAACGGCCGGAAGCTTGTCTCCGGCGTCGCGGCTATAAGTACCCACAGTAGCTACAGTGTAGAGGACTTTTGGACGATCGATAGGTTGTTATTAGAGAATCCCGACCGCACTCAGTCGGCACTCAGAGCAACCAAGTAGATTGTACTTAGGAACTCTACCTTGATCAATAAAGAATTACTTGCTTTACTTGGTCTTGTGTTATTTATATTGCTTACGTAGAATTAGCAGTATCATTTTGGCGCCGTCCGTGGGGATCCGTGCAACAAGCCAACGTCTTGACGAGCACCCGATCACCATACCAGCATGTATCCGTGGGCACATAACAACTTCGCCGACGACCAGGCGGATGCAGCGAGCTCCTCCGACCACTACGCTACCCAACAGCAGGGTCAGACGATGGACCTCAACCTCAACCTTTCACCGCCACATCCGTCAAATACGTACCCGGCCGCCCAGCAGCCGGTGAATTACATACAGCCGGGATACCCACCGCCCGGTCTGCCATACCAGCAGCAGACGATGATGTATCCCGCCCAGTACCCGTATCCGGTTCCACCTCCACCATACGGGTTTTGGCCAGGCCAACCGATGTGCTACACTTCCCCGGTTGGCTATCCACCATATACGCCTGCCTATACAGCTCCAGCCGCCGCCCCTCCAGTACAGCCGACCGCACAAGTAGAGCCGCAGCGTCAGTCCACTTCCCGGGCTCGACGCTCGGCTCATTCGCGGTTGGGGTCGGGGGGTGCTGACGCGATGGAGGCACCAGTTCAGGCCGTTCAAGCGGAGGACCCAGAAGAGGTTGCCCGAGCGGTAGCTTTCGACCGCCTCCGACCAGAGATGCGCCAGCGTCTGGGACCCCAGGACCCGAACCCCAGGCAAGAGGACGAACAAATGCAGGAAGCTAGCCACGAGGCCTCGTCCGGGTACAGCGGGTCGAGATCACATCGACGTCGACGCGCTCGGGATACAGCCCAAGCCGCCCAGAACGCCGAGCTCAACGAAACCCGAGGGTTGCTCTACAACCTCCAGGCGGAAGTTGCGCAGCTAAGGAATGCATATCCTGCAGCACCCCCGGCCGACCGATCGACCCTCCACCAGACGCCTTTCACAGCAGCGGTAATGGCTCAGCCTTACCCGCTCGACTTAAAGGTCTCGGGAGAGAAGAGTTACGACGGTCGGACAGATCCTGAGGCTCACGTGAACGATTTTTTCAGCAACATGATGCTGAAGGGCGTTTCAGACGCCGTGATGTGCAGGGCCTTCTACTCAACCCTCACCGGTCGGGCAGCAGAGTGGTTCCGCACCTTGCCCCCGGGGTCGATCGACAAATTTGAGACCCTGGCGATCAAGTTTGTACGGAAGTTCATTACTTCCAAAGTGGTGAGGAAGTCTTACATGTACCTCGAGAAGGCCAAGCAGCTCGAAGGGGAAAGCTTGACCGACTTCCTCATCAAGTGGAAAGCAGCGGTCGGGGAGGTCGAACCCATGGATGATGCGACCGCCACCCACATGCTTCACATCTCCCTCCGGGCGGGGTATCTATACCAGGATTTCATCCTTCACCCCCCGACCACATACGAGGAGGCCCTCCGAAGGGTCACGGATTACGCCAATGCTGGTGAGGCGAATGCCGTGAAACGTTCACAAGAGGTCGGTTCTTCGTCCCGTAAACCGGCCGGCCGGGCGGAACATCAATCGGGACACGATCGTCCCCGATCCCGCACCAGGCCTGGTGAATTTACGGCCT